TCGCAGCATAAATTGAGCAGCGAGAATAAAGCAGCACTCGCCCCGTCGCGGCTGGGTGGCGCGCGTGGGGGAACTTCCACCGTGGCGCGGCACAGCGCAGCGGTGCATGGGAAGAGTGGCTAGGGAACCTGGGCTGCCTTGCAGCTGTGCATCCTGCTTCTCCCAGCAGCCGGTGCTCTAGGCAATAGCCTCGAGGCTGCAGTGAGGCCCTGAGTTGTCCAATATCCCGTATCCTTCCAGGAAGATGGGAGAGATGATGGAGTTGGTCTCTGAAAGAAATGCATCCTCTCGGGTGTTTGCTGAGTGGGGGTACATCTGCTTTGTGTATCCATCTCTCTGCTCCTGTGTGTGCGTGTGAGGCTGACCTGGCTTGTGCTAGGAAAATTTGGGGTTGCTGCAGCAAACACAGGTGTTACCAGGAAGCCACATGCATGCAGCCCCTTGAGTGGGGACAGGTACTGCAAGCAGCAGCAAACCCACTGTCCTTGCTAAGAGTGAGTTGGTTAACCGCTTCAGCTGCTGCAGTTGTGCAGGTTGGACCTGCCTCTGTCCTTTCTGGGCCCTCACCATGAAAGGGGGAGGGCTGTTTGCTTTCCGGGGTCTTCCTACCTGTTGTCTCTCTATAGCAGGATGTGCTTCTTTTCTTTCTCCAGGAAATCATCGAGTTCCCCATCCTGAAGCTCAATGGCAGGACGATGGAGATCGAGTCCACCTTCCACATGTACGTGCAGCCCGTGGTGCACCCTCAGCTCACGCCCTTCTGCACAGAGGTAAAGCCCCAAGCATGCACGGTGCACCGTGAGACGCGCTCTCACCCCAAAACAGGCTCGCAGATGCGGGCAGGGTTATCTCTGCCGAGGGCAAGGCAAATGCAGGTTGTCCCTCCAACCTTCTGCTGCTACTGCTGTTAATAGTATAGGTAATAATAATGATGATGATTATCATTGTGATAATGATGATATGTGAGAGGCAAGGATTCTTCTTCCTGAAGAAGGAAAAATGCCTTGCATTCAAAAGCTTGTCTGACTCTGTCCCAACTATACAGTTGGTCCAATAAAAGCCATCACCCTAAGAAATCCTTGCCCCTCACATCATTTCTTGGATGATCACAGCTATGACATCACTCTGACACCACCAGTAATGATAATAGCCGTAACAATGGGAACTAGCTATTGTTATAGTAAGGTAGTGATTCTCTACCAGGGAGTCAGGGCTCCTTGGGGTGCTGCGACAGCCTTTCATGGCTGCCCCAGGAGAGGGGAGATAAGCAGGATACGGCTCTTTCCTGGCCCCCCTTCCACCAGGTAAGCACTGTCCTAAACACATGAGTTCTTTAAATGGGATGCTGCTGCATTCACCAAGGTTTTGGAGGGCTGCTTTGCGTCTCCAAAGGTTGAGAAGTGCAATGGTGAGGCCTAGGAGCCTTAGCTGCGAATTGTAATCATGGTGTGCTAGGTGCTGTACGTGCTTATCGTTAAAGCTCCTCCTGGGAATTCTTTTGCTGTTTGCGACTAATCACATTTGTAATGGACAGGCGACCCGGGGATTTGGGGCGTTGGTGCCAGCAGTGATGCAGGGGACAGCCGGTGTAGAGCAGTGAAAAACACGTGTCCCCTTGCAGAGGCTGGTCCTATGCCGGAAGCAGGATACATCCCATATGGAAGAAAACAACCCTGTGCTGCAGTCATTTCTGGCTCTTCACAGGCCCTGGCTTTGGTGGCTTGTTGTCACCAGAAGGCTTTCAAGTGCTGAGGCCATCTTTAAAGCTGTCTTTCCAGGATAGGATAGTGGGGCTCTGGAACACCATCGTTACTATAATCACAAGGGATGATTGCTCTGCTGGTTGACGCCCACCTTTTCCCAGAGGTGCTTATTGGCAGAGGAAAAGTGCCAGGGACGCACCTGAGTCGTGACATCCCTGGCAGGGGGAAGGGGAGGACTTGCTTTCTCTTGTGACCTCAGGGAACCAGCCAGTTCTACACCATGGTTTTCCCTTGACGGTGCCTTCTTGCATTGGCTTTTGCTTCCCTTGCCACCACTGCCCTGGTTTGAGGCCACCTGTCCCAGGTGAGTGTTGTGTGGAGGCAGAAGTCCTGAGTCTGCTACACCCCTGCTGTCCCTTTAGCCCCTTCATCACTTCCCTTTTTCTGTCTGTGCCTCAGTTTCCCCATGTCATGGGGCCAATACATGCATGGCTGCCGTTAGCAAAGGCCTCTGACACATGGATGAGGGTAGCGCGCTCGATGCCCTGACCCTCGTGTCATCTCCCCACCCTTCCATAGGCATAAGGATCATGCCAGATTGTGCTTTTGATCCCCCCAGCCAGCTCTGAGGCCTGATCCCAAACCACTGACGTCTGTGGTGGCAGAACCAGGGCCTCCGCATGCCTGCCCTGAGCGAATGGACTTCTGGCCTAGGTGACCCAACAGCTCTGTGCCGCCAGGCAGAAAACCCTGTGTCGAGCCAGGCCATCCCTGCCGCTTCCCCCATTGTGAAAACAAATGCTGTTTTGTTTTCACTCTCCCAGAACAGCGGTGCACTCGGTTCAGACTTTCCAAAAAAACTCAGCGCAGAAAACTCCATCCCCGAGGGAGCTCTCCAGAAAGCTGTAAACACTCCAGAAGAGAGGGCCGGCACGGAAACTCTTTTGCAACCTTTCCCTGGCAGGCTGGACGAGTGCTCGGGCTCTCTCTGCCCTTCCTGGACCTGCTGGGCACAGCCCTTGTGCATGTTGTGGTAGCATGATTCTGGATAGTTGCAAGATGTAGGTTTATAGGAGACATTCATGATCTAGCCCATGATTTTTTTTTTTTTTTTAATTGCAGGGAGTACCACTTTGGTGGGTGGGATTAAGGCATCAGTGTTGCAACACTGCTTTTGCCCAAAGCCAGACAGTGGAAGCAGCCAGCTTTCCTCCCTCACCCCTGCACACAGCCTGCTTCCGAACACCCCTGCTCTGCCTGCCTTTGCACTTTGGAAGTGCCCCTTGCACTGGACCTGCACCCTAATTTAAGCTGAAAAGGGTGTAGGAGCTGTGAGTGAAGCTGTCTAGCTGGTGTCACATGGAGGATGTCCGGCTAAACGCTCCCACAGGCTTCTTCTCTTCTCTGTGAACCAGTGGGGTCAAGTGCGCCAGGCTGTGGAAGTCTCTTTCAGCATTAAAAGCATGAGGCTCTGACTGCATGAGGCAGGGAGAGTGGCTGTAGTCCAGAGGCTGAGCCAACCCATGGGACTGTCCGGTGTGATCTGACCTGTTCTTTGTCCCTGGGTGAGGGCAGGCTCTCCACCCTGCCCTCTGCAAACATGGAGACTTTGTGCTGGGTGCACCTCATCCCTCTGGAGAGAAGCCAGGCCCCAGCACAGCCTGGTCCCTATGCACATGGCAAAGGCTCTGACCCCTCTGCCCTGTGGCCAGTAAGCAGGGCACTGCGCTCCCCCTGTCATCCACTAAAGTGAACCCGGCAGTTAGGGGGACCCTGTACAGTTGTCCCAGACCATTGGTCTCTGGTCTTAGCTGAGCTGGTAGCTCTCGCGAGGAGCCGCGTGAGCCACACGCAGTGACACGGGTCAACCCTGGGTCTGTGCCGTGGGTAGTGGCTGCTTTAGCATCCTCCCAGGTCCGGATGTCACCGTTGGTGGCTGCATGGTAGCATCACTCTATGATGGATGCTTTTCAGATCCTCTTTGCAGCCTTGCCCTTCTCTCCATCCTTCCCCATCAGGGTCCTTTTCTCTAGTCCCGAGTGTTCCCCCTTCACTCTCCGTCCACTCTGCTGCTGATTTTCTCAGAGGTGCAAGAAGAGGAAAATGGACCCCCTGCCACCGGTGGGAGTCTTGTTTCTCCCTTGCCGGGAGGGGAAAGATTTTGCCACAGGCTGGTGCTGAGGCTGCAGTGCCGCTCTCTTACTCCTTCAGCGAGGTCCGTTCCCATTTGTACCGAGCCCCAGGTGCTCCCTTTTCCTGTCTCTGTGCGGGCGGGTAGGGAGCAGGGCCTCCCCCATCGGTCTGAGGGGCAGCTGGGGCCAGGGAGCGCGGTTGCAAGGCCCCCGCTCTGCGCCGTCCTCTGACCAGCTGTGCCGGCTGCAGCAGGCTTTCAGCGCCGCGCTGCGGTTCCTGGAAAATGCCCATCTTGCTAAATGCCAGTAAAGGGCTTTGTCTCAGCACCTCTACTTAGCAAGGGTGAGATTTATTGGCCTCTTTGTCTACGAAGAAAGACCAGGCCCGCTGATCAGATTGTACACCAGAGACGAGTGCTTATGCAATCAGCAAACTGTCTCAGTGCAGAGAGGCGATGGTTTGTGAGATAAACTCCGGAGGAAAAGCCACGGCGCTGACATTGCATCGCAGTCTGTCTTGTGCACCGCTTCACTGTCAGCCTCGTCTCCGCTCACTGCCTGGCAGAGACGCAGCCCCTCGACACAGGGGTGTGTGCTGATAACGGGGCGGCCTCGGGAATTGAACGCACCTGTCTCCTTGTTGCCCAAGCACAGCTGAAAATGCACCAGTACTCTGTGCTGCTAATCTGTCCAGGGGGTTAGTGAGCCTGCGGGGGACAGGGCTGTCTTGAAAAACCCCTGTCGCTGCTCAAGTACAGCTGGGAGGGTGCTGGCAGCACTGGCCAGGCCGGAAAAAGCCAGCAAGCAGTTGCTTGCTCACCCTGTCCTTAATCATAGCATCATAGAAAATGGGGGCTGGAAGGGACCTCGGGAGGTCACATCTAGTCCAGCCCCCTGCTCCAAGCAGGACCAGCCCTGATTAGATCATCCCAGCCAAGGCTTTGTCTACCTGGGACTGAAACGTCTCCAAGGATGGAGATCCCACCACCACTCTGGGGAGCCTGTTCCAGTGCTTTATCATGTTCCTCGGGAGAGAGTTTTTGCTAGTATCTAACCTCAACTTCCCTTGCTGCAACTTGAGCCCCTTCCCATCTCCAGGCTCTAAACCCAAAGTACTTTCAGGTCCAGGAGCAGCCTAGATTCCCTGTGTACAATCCATCGGGAGCTTAGAAAACTGCTGATGTCGGATGTCTTCTACCTTCCTGTAGAGCTGTGGTGGCTGCCTCCAGAGAGGCCCCAGTGCTCTCTTGACCTGCCACCACTGGGCTTCAGCATTAGGGAGCAGTGAAGGCAGAAGCCAGCTGGAACAGCCGCTTGCCGTTCATCCTTCCAGGGGCAGCTCCGTCGAACGCGGCAGCCTGCACGGAGCAGGCAGAGAGGGGTATCTTGGTTATGGGGCATTTCCGAGAAGCATGCTGGTGCCCAGTGCTTTCCTGCGCCTTCCAAATTGGGTGTTACAAGAAACCATCATTCGTGTGGCCGATTCCCTTCTCCAGCTGCATCCCAGAGTCTTGGCTGTGGCCACTTGCCGCAGAGCTGGTGCAGTCACTCCCAGGGTGGAGGAGTCGTGGTAGTTGAGCGACGTGTCTTTCAGGCGAGTGGTGGGACAGGCATCCACCAAGGGATGGGAGGGCTGAGCCAACAAAGCAAAACATGGGTTAAATCCATACTAAAGAGCAGTGCAGTTAATCTCTTACATTTATTTTCCTTTTAGAACATGGGAGTCTGTAGGCAGCAGCTGTTACCCAATTAAAATACAGATTAATATAAAAACAGTTTCAGGAATATAAGAGAGTGCCTGTGTCCCTCCACTTCCTTAAAATTCCACCTAATAATGACTTGATGAACTTCAGAAACCCACCTAGAGGAACTTGCCGTTCTTAAAATTAAAATTTCTTCCCTAAAAGGTACATATTACCATTCCATGGAAGTCGCGAAGAGAAAATAATCTTCCTGCTTATAGCCAGCTTATTCAGTGAGTCAGGTATTTGGTATTCATTAAATGTAATTACAGTTTAATTGGAGTTTAATCTTTTTTTTCTTCTTTTTTTTTTTTTCAAGTTTCAGTGCTCTAAGGCAAGCAGCTAAAGAAACACAGGGCAGAGGCAACCCGGCTTGTTTAAGTTGCCATCCATTCAGTAATGCAGGGGCCACGACTCGTGCTTGGACTCGCATGCCACGAGTTGGGTGGAAGCGTTTTGCAGCAGAGGAGCTGTTTCTGGAGGGTGGAGAGAGTCTCAAGAGCTCTCCCCTCCGTGGCTCTAGATTAGACTGTCATGGTGGCCCGTGAACCTGGCTGCTGCATGCATGCACCACATCCCAGCCTTGCACCTTGCGCCGCCTGCCCTTCAAAAGACAATTAGACGTGTGCGATACCCGGTAAAGCAGTGCGGTGTGCGTCTGTAGTGATGGGGATTGTTTTCTTTGATTGCTCAGGTGCACTGGTAGTGAGCTCCTGACCTCTGTTTTCAGTCCTTTTTTTCCTTAAAAGAAGGCTTTTTTTTCAGTTGCAGAGCTACAAAAAACTAAATAAAGGCTTTGCGCGGCACAAGCCCCTTCACTAGTGCACAGAAAAGGCTCTGAGCTGGTCAAACATTGCTGCATAGGCTTAACTTTAAGCACGCAAGCAAGCCAGGCATGATGAGTGGGTTAACAGGAGGTCTTCAAAGTTTGCAGCCCTGGGAGACCCTGCCCTGACGGGCGTATGGAAGAACATGTGGTAGTGGAGCTTTAAAGGGAAACGGGTTTCCTTCACATGCCATCAGGGTTTTTGTAAATACGTTGTTGTGCTGCCAGTGGTTTAAATGGAAAAACGTGCTATGTGAAGCTGCCCCGAAGCTTCCTGCCCGCTCCTCCATTCACGGCACCAATGCACTGCCCTCCCCTTTAACCAGAGAGGATTATTGTGTCCACCTTCGCAGAGACGCTACCTGTCATATCAGCACGTCAGAACTGCCACTTCCTGGTCAGGCACCGGGTCCATCTTGCCCAGCCTCTGGTGTCATACGGTGGAAGGGAGCGTGACTGGGTCTGAGCAGGGTTTTCCCTGCTCCTCTCTGCCTTGCAGCCTCCAGCACTTACTGTCTAGGAAGCTCTGATTCGGAGGCTGTGCCCCTCGCTCCCATACTCGATAGCTCCTGACGCCCCTTTCCTCTAAGGACGTGTCTAATCCTTTTGAATCTGGCTAAACTTGACTTTCGCCGCATCTGGTGGCAATGAGTTCCACGCTTTAGTGACGCTCGGGGTGAAAAAGGGCTTCCTTGTCTTAGTTTTAAACTTTTGCTCTTTTTACGTTGTGACCCCTTAGTTCTTGTCTGGCGTGAGAGAGTAAATAATAAATCCCTATTCACCTTCTCTTCAGCATTTAGCCTTGTATAAACCCCTCTCATGTGTCCCCTCAAGCGTCTTATTTCTAAACTGAACAGGCCTGGCCTTTTTCATCTCTCCTTATGTGAAAGTCCCTTCATACCCCTCATCATCCTTGTTGTCCTTCTTTGGACTTTCCCTAGTTCTTCTCTTTCCTTGTGGCGGCGCGGGGACCAGATCTGGGCACAGGATTCGAAATGTGGGGGATCAGGTTCAGGTGCAGAGAACCTCTATCAACCGTCTATCAAATGTGGATGAGCTGTGGGTCTGTAAAGGAGTGGGGGGATCGCTGCAGCCTGGGAGTGGCCGAAGGTGCCTAGTGCAGTAGAAATGGCTTGCGTAGGTTCAGGCAGCCTCAGCAGGCGCTGAAAAGAGTTTGGTGTTGAAATGGGCAGCACGCGGGGCGTCCTGTGCACGCGCTGGCCGCTGGCCTGCACTGTTTCCCCAGGCAGGCTGTGTTGAGTTGCAGTCCTTCCAGCTGGATGCATAGGAGATCCCCTGCTTCTCTGTCTCTGCAATGAGCATGTGTTTTCACTAGGCAGTTTGGGCTGCCTGGCATTGCCCAGGCAAGCCACCCGGGCACTGCGTGGTTTCAGAAAGATGGGCTGGGGTGGAGACCTCCTAACAGTCTGTGTGCTGCTCCTCTGATTCCTGTGCTCTCTCCCCCTCTCCTTTGTTTCAGCTGACTGGAATTATTCAAGGCATGGTGGATGGGCAGCCGAGTCTCCAGCAAGTGCTCGAGGTAAGCAGAATAACCTTTAGTTCCTGACCCCTGACCTCTACTCCCCCTCCCACCTCCTCCCCGCGCCTGAGAATCGAACCGCGTAATTTGACTATGATTACGGCTTCATTAGAATAACATTTGCTGTCACGTCGGTGACATGCTGCTGAGAGTATTGAACCATTGATCTGTCATCTCCAGCTGTTCATGTCAAGGGTACTGACAAGATGTCCAAACTCCTGCCAGCAGACAGGAGAAGAGGCGATTTGACTTGAGCCAGCCGCAGCGTGCCAAGACATTGTTTTAGACCGCTGCAAGGCAGCTGGCCCTCCCCCCATGTGGGTGGAATGAATGCTCCATAATACACGTGGCGGAGAAGGAAAATGCCTTTAAAACCTAATCTGTGGGATGGGTGAATGAAGCTATAGCCCTAATAATGCCATCTGCTTAATGTTGGATTCCTACAGCTTTTAGGGCTTAATTAGCTTGAAAGTGTTTCTCTATCAATAGCTTTTGTTGGTCGTCAAACACCGGAGGATCCCTCCTTGAGCTGAGCCCGCGCAGGCTGCAGGTCATTGCACGATGCATTGTCTCTGTCAGGATGCGGGCTGCCTAATTGTTCCTAATCGGAATAATTGCACCAATTGCTTATGGAAGGAAATCAAATTAACGGTGTTAGCATCCTCCGTGGGGGTGGCACTTCGTGGGCGCTCACATCAGGGATTTTGGAAAGGTCACGACGGCTCTGCGTCGTGCCGGGGGCCCTCCATCGTCGAGATGGCACGGCAGCCCCTGGGACGCGGGGGTGGCGTGTGCGGGGGGAGCCTCTGATGCTGATCCATGGTGAGCTGCTTGCTGCCGGGGCTGCATGGATCAGCCTCAGACTGAGCCTCTTGCCTGTTTCAGCCCCTGTCTTGAAGATGGTGGCGATGAGGGGGGTTGATAGAGGTTCTCTGCACCTGAACCTGATCCCCCAGCACTGTCCAGGGCAGACATCAGGGATCAGGCAGAGATGGAGCCCACTGAGGGCTGGGGATGGTTAGGAGGTGCAAGAAGACCTGGGGGGAAAGCTGTTGCCAGCCAAGGCCAGAGCTGAACTCCCAGAAGTGCTTGGAAGCCTTTAGCTGGGGCCACACATTTCCTAGGCCCAGCTGGGCTGGCTTCCCTTGCAACGCACTGGGTTGTTTTGCCCAGCTGCTGACTTTTGTATTTTGAAGGTGTGCAGATCAGTTGTTCACAGCTAGGTATAGGCACATCCCCTCCCTCTCTTCTCCTCTGGTCATGGGAAAAGCATCTCGAAAGGGTGAATTGTAACAGCCGAGTGACAGCCAGGCCTGAGCCCTGACCCCTGCTCCTTCCCCGCCTTGGCTGGAGGGACCCCCACCTTCATAGAGCGGTCTGCTCCAGCCCTGGGGCTTTCAGGGTGGGCATTGAAGACTAATCTCTGCCATTCACATGGCATTGGCAGTGAAAGTAGCCAGGGCCCCTTGTACAGGGCTCCTGCCCTCCGACCCTCCTTGCTGCAGGTGACAAGCGCAAACTCACGAATTCCAGCCAGCACGCGGGTACTCGCATCCGAGGTGCGCCTGGTGTGGCTGCTTTTCTTCGGGAGAGTGAGTGAATCTTATCCCAGAAGAGCACAATCCACTGCAGAATTAGATTCAGCTGATCCAGAAGAAGGGTGTCCACATGGGCAGTTAACTAGGAAGAGCTGCTTCACTTCAGATTCAGACCCTCTCTTACTCTGAATTCAGTGACTTATGCTATCAAGCCCATGGAGCTAGGGGGAGGGGAGAAAATGGGTTGAACCCTCCACAAAGGAGGTGCGTGTGCTGAGCTGGGTGGCCTCAGTGCTTGCGTGCAGGGATGTCCCTTTGCTGAGGGCCCATCCTGTGCAGCAGACTCTGCAAAGTGGTGGAAGTGCTGTAGCTGAGAATCCCACTCCCACGGGTTGCATTTCCTCCCGAATGCAGGTGAGGATCTCTGATTCCTCTCCGGTTCGCTCCTTTTCCTCCCGTTCCCAGGCTGGGGGCTGCGGAGCCAAGGGGGAGCTTCTTGGTTTAATTTCTAGCTTCCTCGGCGTGTCAGAGGGAACGTGGTTGTTTCGGTATCAGTCTCCCTGGAGGGGGCCGGGGCCAGGTTGGAGAGGGAGCTGAGGCCCGTTTCAGCCTTGCTGTCCCGTACGCAGCGTACGGCTCCCAGAGCCACTGTTGTGCCTGATAAGATCACTTCTGCTCCGCGCCTGATGTGGCCTCTTGGAAATCTTCAAAGGCCCAAGTGTGGTCGTGTGAAGAAAAGGAGCTCAGAGATGAGGCGAGAAGTGTGTGGGGTGGAGGCTGCCTCCGGATAAGATCACAGCTTTCTCTTCTCTCCGTTCCCAGCTGCTTATCTGAGCACGACTGTTGTGGCGCTTCCTGTGCCAGCACTGCTTACCTGCTTGTCCTCTCTTCTTTTCAGAGGGTCGACGAGTGGATGGCAAAGGAAGGCCTCCTAGACCCCAGCGTCAAGTCGATTTTTGTAACCTGCGGTGACTGGGATTTGAAAGTCATGTGAGTACACCCGGGCGAGGCGCCTTATGGCCCACAGTCCCCACTCCCCTGCCAACAAGACCCCCCTCTCTCATTAGCCGGTGGGACAGTTCATGCAGCTCCACAAATCTGCTCTGCGTTGGGAAGAGGGCAGTGCTTTTGCCCTCCCTGTTCATTCCCACAAGTCACCTCTGCTGTGGCCTGGACTGGGTTCCAGCTGATCCTTTCCCACAACAGAGAATCCACGTTGATGCTAAGAATCCTGCAAGCTTCCTCCACCCTCTTGTTCACCACGTGGGAGAGAGAGGGGGGAGCCTTGCATGGGACCACTGGGCAGAGGAGTCCCTGTGTGCCTGGAAAAGGGCTTAACTGGGATGTTTCCAGTTGCATCCATTCTCCAACTCGCAGAGCAAGGATATGCCTCCCATTTCTAGCTCCTTTAGTCATTGTCTGCCTCCGTCCATACCTGATGGCCTGGGGAGCTCGGGGGATAAATAGCTTCCCCGTCCTGACAGCTGTGTTCTGTTTCCTAAGCTGCGCTGCCTGCAGCTGGCGTTGCCTCAGGGAACAGGAGCACTGCACTTCCCGTGAAGGAGAAGGAGCAAGCGGGGAGCGGGTGGTCTTAGCTTCTATCTCTCTGAAGCAAAGGATGCCCCCAGGGCATCTTTCATCTACAAGGCCTTCCCTCTGCCTTGCAGGTGCACTGCAAGGGCATTAGCATGTGGGTTATCGTGGCAAAAGGGATTGAGAGCCAGGGGCTCAGGGCTGGCATGCTTGAACTGGCATTCTTGCTGACAGCAGTCATGCTGGCGGGCTGAGCTAGTGCAGACACCTAAATGGCCACAGTTATTGACACACGTGTGTATTGGTGCGTCCTTCCACACACTTGCCTGTGCACATTGGGGGCTGGCTGCGTACAGAAGTAGCTCTGACGGTTGAAGTCAGGCCAGATCCGCACCGCAGAAGCAGTGCGGTGTCGCAGCACTGAATGCCCTGGCACTCCTGTAACCTCTCAGCTGCTCTTTGCTGGTTAAGTGCCTGGTACAGGCGGCTGTCTTCATCACACCGAGAAGGTTCAGGCATTGATGTGCCCGGCACCAAGCCAACATCCACTGCTCGTTAGCAGTGTCACCTGGTTCTTAGCGTGACATCGCTTTCCCCTAGTGTGAAGCCGAAATAAAATGCTTACAAGCCAGGAGAACCCAGGATAGGCTCCGTTTTGCTGGCTGGGATTTTGCGGGGGGCTTGTTCGTTCCCTGCTTGCTTGAGAAATGGGGACTTTCTTTTCCATGCACGCCTTGCAGATGCAAGAGAAGGGGTGGGCGTACCAGCCTGGCGTTTCTGAGCCCCTCCCTTGTCTCAGCCCTTGTCTTCTCCTGCTGGGGGGAGAGTCGGGCCCCTGTCCTGTTGGAAGGGAAGGATGGGGCTGCATCTTGCCCGTGTTACAAGGCCAGTCCTGTCCCTTTTGTTGTCATCGTAAGATGACCCCAGGACATGTGCGTGCCCCCTGAGTTGGCTCCTACACAGCTCCCGGCTCTATTATCGGCTCTATATTTGGGGAGTGGATGGCCATGCCCCTTGTTCTGGGGCTGATAGCTGTTCTCCGTAGCTCCCGTGCAGTGGTCCATTGTTCTGTTTTTTTTCCAGCTGTGAGTATGAAAGGCGAAGCTTGCTCTGGAAAAGCTCCCAGGGGACATAGAGAAGGGTGGAGTCCCCACCTGTCCGCTCCCTGGTGGTGTCTCCAGGGCCATGTGCCGTGGGCTTATTCTTCTCCCACCACTGGCTTTCCCTCCCATCGGTGTTGAGACCTGCTCTGATACTTTCTGGAAGCAGTTCAGGTTGTTCAGTGACCCACAGGGCACGTGCTGGCTTACGTGACCAGCGTTCCCCCCAGAAGGGATGGTGGGGGACATTGCTCTGCAGAGCAGCTAGTAGGAGACATCATGGTCCAGGCTAGCTCCTGGGAAGCTGACTTTTGCTATTGCCAGCCCCTCATGATTCTTACTGAAAGGAGGGCTGGCCAGGAGGGCCCAATGAGTGGCTTGTTTCTCTTTTCTTTTCCTCTGTTTTAAGGCCACTAACTTCTGCACTAGTGCAAAGTCCTGCACTTAGGATGGAACAGCCCCCTGCATGGGTCCAGGCCGGGGGCCGACGGGCTGGGCAGCAGCTCTGCAGAAAAGGACCTGGGGGTGACAGGGGACAAGAAGCTGAACAGGAGCCGGCAGCGTGCCCTTGGTGCCAAGAAGGCTAACGGCATCCTGGGCTGCATTGGCAGGAGCGTTGCCAGCAGATGCAGGGCAGCGATTCTTCTCATCTGTTCAGCACTGGGGAGGCCACATCTGGAGTCCCGTGTCCAGTTGTGGGCCCCCACTACAGAAAGGATGTGGACACATTGGAGAGAGTCCAGCGGAGGGCAGCAACAATTGAGGGGCTGGGGGACAGGACTGGTGAGGAGAGGCCGAGGGAACTGGGCTGATTTAGTCCAGAGAAGGGAAGACCGAGGGGGATTGAATAGCAGCCTTCAGCTCCCTGCAGGGGGGCTGCAAAGAGGATGGAGCTGGGCTGGTCTCAGTGGGGGCAGATGGCAGAACAAGGAGCAATGGGTTCAGGCTGCAGCAAGGAAAGTTGAGGTTGGATATTAGGAAAAACTTCCACCCGAGGAGGGTGGTGAAGCACTGGAACAGGTTAGCCAGAGACGTTGTGGACTCCCCACCCTTGGAGGTGTTTAAGTCCCAGGTAGACAAAGCCGTGTCTGGGATGATGTAGCTGGGGCTGGTCCTGCTTGGAGCAGGGGGTTGGACTAGATACGACTCCTGAGCAACCTTCCCGTCCTCGTTGTCTGTGATTCTGTGATCTCCACGATTCGATCCTGAAGCCTTTCCAGGGCAGAGTGGGAAATACATGTCGTGTTTCCAGCGTCGCGGATGCAGGGAGCCGGCATGCAACCTGTTAGTGAACTGCACATCACAGGGCCCCGGCGCTGATTGGACGCAGCCGCGTGGAGCGTCACATCTGATTAGCAGTGTGCCGGTGAATGGGGCTTGAGTGAAAACTCCCTGCCAGCTCCGACTTGTCTCATTTCCCATTGCTTTTATCCATCACCACAAAGGCCGAGCCCCCTCCTGAACTAATTAAGTTTGCATGTGTTTAGACACATTGCCAAATGGAGTTTAGCAAACCAGAACTGAGCATCTCTGTTTCAGCGGGAAAGGCACGTGGCTGAAATAGCCATGCGGGCAAAACAGTGCAGCGTCTCGGCTATGGCATATTTAGGAAACGCTCCAAAGCAAGGCCCTGCTGCACCCTGAGAGACTCTCAGGGCAGCCTGGGAAGTGGTGTCATTTCTTCCCACAAAGTGTGCAAATGACTGGCACTGCTCAGCGTTGGGAAGAGGGGTCAGCGGCTTGCCCCTTATCACTCTCTGGGGTGAGGCTTGCAGCTGTTCTGTACTTACCAACCTGTGGAGTAGGCAGTGGGGACTTGTCCACGGAGAAGAAGTGATGAGGAAAGTTTTATTGAGACTGAAGAAGGAACAGGTCAAGCAAGGGGGTGACCTGGATGCTGGGATGGCCACCCCTCATTCCTGTGAATATGGGCATCTGGAGCAACCCCAAAGGGTCAAGTTGTCCTTGTTGCTCTCCTTGTTCCTCCCAACACCCCCTGTACCCAAGAGTGTGGCTGTCTCTTCAGAAGACCACTATGCACTGAGCTGCTAGCATCCCTGTGAGCACCCTGCGTCCTAGCGTATGGTAACCCTGTTTGTAGCAGGGCTCCTTTTCTCTGAGCTTCCTTATTGGAAACGTGCTGGAAGGGACTTTCAGGGGCCACCTAGTTAACCCCTTTCTGAGGCAGGATCAGGCCTGTCCAAGCCAGCCCAGACAAACCCTGTGTCTGAGCTCTGAGCTACCCGACAGTCACCCCTGACACAGCCCCAGGCATCACCCCTGCCCCTGCCTCTGGGAAAGCAGAGGGGCTGAGGCTGCCAACGTCCTGCTGCTGCTGGGGGTTCATGGACACTGGAGAGATCCCTGGCAGAGGCCGTGTCCCCACTGCAGAGGAAGGCAAAACCTCCCAGTCCAGACCAGTCTGAGCAGGGGGAAAATTCCTTACTGATTGCAAACATGGTATTGGTCTGAGCCTGAGCAGAGGCAAGGCCCTCTATCCAGGACCCTCCTGGCTTAAGTCCCGGCAGGAGCATTGGCACAGCCCGGTCCCTATCCCCAGCCTGGACTGCAGCCACAACCTGACACTGCTGAGGAAGGAGAAATGATAGTTTCCACTGCAAAATTTCACCCAAGAACTTTGCATGCAGATGCCATGAGGCCGTCTGTGCACCCAGCCCAAGGAGCGGGCTCTGGCCTCTGCCCCATATTCTCATGCTGCCACCTGATTTTCTGCTCATCCTCATTCACCTTTCACTGGAACGAGCAGGTGGCAGTGGCATGCAGTGCTGCTCATGGAAGATGTGGGTTAGGGCTTCCCGCCCTCTTGTGTTGCTGGGTTGATGGCATGGGGCAGGCCTGCCTAGCCTGGGTGTTCCCTGTGTACCCATTGCTGAGCTCAGAGGGTGAAGACAAGTGCCCCGGGCTGCACGTTCCTCAGCTGGATCTGTTCTGCACAGTGATAATGACACCAGCTGCATGGATCAGCAGCAGCCGCATGCCTGCCTGCAAGGGGTGCAAGTGTTGGGCTGCCAGTAGATAGACGCAGGCACTGCTGTAGTCTGGCTGGGTGGCAGGTAGGGTGCTAGGTAGGGAACCAAGGCAGGTGGTGGGTATTTCCCATGACCCAATAGAGAGCGCTGGTATTTGGTAGCAGAGGCTGTGCAGTCTAAATTTGATGTCAGTTGACCTCAGGGTCTGCGCCTGGGACCCTGCTGGTGGGTACTCAGTGCTTCCCCTTGTTCTCCTTTTGGCTGTATGTACCAGGAGGTTTTTAAGCTTCCCCCTGCGGCGCTGGTGCTGCTGCAGCCCAGGTTGGGGATGGGACTGGGCTGTGCCAGTGCTCCTGCTGGGACCAGC